TGCTGATAGTGACTTATCTTTATTCACCTATAAAGGGTGTATCCTTTTACTCCTCCCTTTTATATTTAACATGACATATTGTCTTTTTTATGCTGTGAATTTGTTATAAATTGTAGCAGCTGTATTTATTTTTAATGCTTCTTTCCTTTAACGTTTATGCTATAATTGTTTAACACACCTTCCTGAGGATTAGCATTTTCTAATTTTGAATATCACTGTAGTCAACGTTTTGTGTACTGTTCTCTTTGCTTTTCAGTGTGAACTCCTTTCAGCATTTCTTGAAAGGCAGTTCTAGCTCCCAGCGCCCAAGCAACAAACTCCCTCAGCTTTTGTCTGTCTGGAAAAGCCTTTATATCTCCACATCTGAAGGGTAACTTGGCCAAAATGAATATTCTTGGCTGGCAATTTTCATTTTTCAATGCTTTGCTATGTCAGCTTTTCATTACCTTGAATACTTCATGCCATTCTCTCTGGCCTATAGAGTTTCTGCTGAGAAATCTGCTGGTATATTAATGGGGATTCTTTTTATCCTTGACTGTCTTTAAAATTCTTTATCATTGACTCTTGACAGTTTCATTATACTATGTCTTGGAGAAGGTCTTTTGCATTGAGATAATAAGGCGTGCTATTAGCTTCATGGACTTTTATGTTTAGTTCCTTCCCCAGGTTTGAGAAGTCTCAGCTATTATTTCTTTAAGTAAACTCTCTGCCCTCTTCTCCTTCTGGTAGACCCATTATTCTTACATTGCCTTTTATAATGGAGTCTGATAGCTCTCATAGGGTTTCTTCCCCTTTAAAAAGTCTTAGTTCTCTCTCCTCTTCCGCCTGAATTTCTAGATTCTATCCTCCAGACTGCTTAATCTTTCTTCAGTCTTATCTGCCCATCTCCAATGCTTTTCTAATGTATTCTGTATCTCATTTATTGAATTTTTTGGCTCCAGAATTTCTGGTTGGGTTTTTTTTTTTTTTTTTTTTTTTTTTTATTTTTTTTTTTTTTTTTTAAAATTCCTCCTTTTTTTTTTTTTTTTTTTTTTTACTATTTTTATGTCTTTGATAAAGTACTCCTCTGTTCATTAATTATTCCATTAGTTAATTGAATTGCTTGAGTTTTCTTATAGGTTGTTGAATATCTTCATAACAACTATTTTAAATTATCAGTTAGATAAGAATATTCCATATGTCTTTGTGTTTGGTTGCTGCAAAGTTGTGGTTTACTTTTTGTGATACTGTATTGCTATGGTTTTTCATAGTGTTCGATGAAATGTGCCTCTACCATCGCATTTGAAGTAACAAACGCCTTTCTTATTCAGGTGATGCTTTGTTTACTGTGATTCTATTTAACTGACTGGCAATTAGAATACTTAGACTTTTCCAGACATTGGCTGTACAGCACAAGTTTTTGGTTTCTCTTACTAGAGCTGATTTGCTGCTAAAGTTGGGAGCGTGCCTTGAAAATAAGCTGGCTTAAAAAAAAATTGAAAGGCTGGTGGCAGTGTGGGGAGAGATACATGCTTAGCACATGGGGCTTTGGGTGTGCCCATGGCCGGGTAGGGGGATCCTCGAGTAGGGGAGTCCTGGAAGTCTGTTGGCAGACTTTTTGCTGTAATTCAGGCAGAAATGAGTTACCCTCAGTTCTATTTCTGTCCCCATCCCCGCAAGTCATCACTGCAGTTTCTCCTCAGGGCACTGGGCCCCTCTTGCTGCAGCATGCACTACTGGGAAGCTCCCCCACCCACTTCTCCCCCCTCTACCTCCTCTGCCAGCAAGGTTGCCACTATGCCACCATTCTCCTGGCTCTACCTCCTCTGAGGTTCAATCCACCCCTTTTCAGATGCACAGATGGAAGGACCCATCAGGTATCCTGTGCAGTCACGTGTGCTTGGTTATGAAAGTCTGAAGAGTTGTAAATCGAAGGGGAAAGGAAAAAGGAACGACTCACACGGCCAGGATGCTGACATCACTCTGTCACAATCTTTGTTTTAAAGCTTATTTCGTCTAAATATAGCTACCCCAGATTTCTTTCAATTTCTATTTGCATGGAATATCTTTTTCCATCCCTTCACTTTTCAGCCTTTGTATATCCTTAGATCCGAAGTGAATCGCTTATATGCAGCACATAGATGGGTCTTGTATTTTTTTGTGTTTTTAAATCTTTTGATAGAATTACATTTAAAGGAATGGTATTGATGGGTTTGTACTTATGGCCATTTTGTTAACTGTTTTCTGGCTCTTTTGCAGTTCCTTTTCTTCTTTTGTTTCTCGCTATCTTGCTTATGGTTTGATGACTTTCTGTAGTGGTATGCTTAGATTCCTTTCTATTTTTTGTGTTTCTACTATATCATTCAGCTTTGTGGTTACCATGAGGCAACCTATAGTTATAACAGTCTGTTTTAGGTTGATAACTTAAATTTGAATCCAGGGCTCTACACCCCCAACCCATTTTACGTTTTTGATGTCACATTTTACATCCTCTAATGTTGTATATATCCTTTAATTACTGTAGTTATTTTTTACCCTTTGCCTTTTAACCGACTAGTCTACCACCTTTACAACATTAGATGGGATGTTTCCTTCCCCAAGTTAGGGAAGTTTTCTGCCTATTCTCCTTCTGGGATCCCTATAAATGCAAATGTTGTCCCATAAATTCCTTAAGCTATCTTCATTTTCTTTCCCATCTTTTTTCGTTTTGCTACTCTGATTTTTCTTCAATTAGTCTGTTGTTGAACTCTTCTAGTGTATATTTAAGTTCAGTTATTGTATTCTTCAGCTCTGCAACTTCTCTTTGGTGCTTATATTTTCTGACTCTTTGTTAAAGTTCGGTGTTCACCCAGTTTCCTCCTCTGTGGGTCTCATGGAGTTTGATGAGCATCTTTAGGACCATTATTTTGAACTCCTTAACCAAATGGGGATAAGGACAGTTTCTGTGGCTTTATCTTGTTTTGTTTGGAACACATTCCTCTTTCTTCATTTCCTGATACTGTTGGTTTCTATGCTTTAGATAAAACGGCCACCTCTTCCGGTCTTAAGCTTCATCTCCTCCATGAGGCCACTCCCTTATCATTGAACCTTGTTCTATTATTTGCCTCTCAAACCTCTGTGATTGTCCAAGCAGCCTGTGTAATGGAAGTGGCTCCCAGTAGCTGGGGGTGGGGGTGGGGGGTGCTGAGAGCTGTCAGAGTTCCAAAGCGGGGAGGGTCCCAGTCAGGACCTAGGTTCAGGCTGACCAGAAGCCAGACCCTCAGGCAGCAGCTTTTAAAGTGTGCAAATGTATAGTTCTGTGGGACCCTCAGGGTTCAGTCGCACTGGTGATCTAGAACTAGGTGATCTAGAGGTGTCCCCTGGGAGCAGCTGCAACTACTGAGGCACCAGAGCAAGGTGCAAGCTCCTTTCCAGGAGCTACTGGCAAGCTGCAGTGAAGCAGTGGATGAGCACAAAGATGGCACTGCTGGCTGGAGCAAAGGAGAGCAACGACGGTACCCATCAGCCTCTGTCCCCGGTAAGTAATGCCCCGGCCCCTAGTCTGTGCTAGATGCCTAACCTTCAGGCTCACAAGCCATTTAAGCCTCTTTCACAAAAAGTTTAGGGGCCTCTCAATTGGCTGCCTCTGTGCTGGGCTGTTGAGTCCAAGCATGCGAGCCCTTTCAGGACCACGTTATCAGCTCGCTAGAGCGTTGTGTCTACAAGACTTGTTGGCTTTCAAAGCTAGATGTTTTGGGGCCTTGTCTTTCAGCTGCAGTTCTTAAAAATTGGGCGCCAAAAGTGGGCTTCAAACTAAGTTCTTCAGGGAGAAGTCCTGGGTTTTGAGTTCTCCCCAATTATGGGTTGCCACACTAGGGGTAAGGTTTATGCCAAGATTATATGTCTCAGCCTCTCCTACCTGCTTTGATGTGGGTGTTTTTTTTCTCACTTGTCCAATGAGTAAGTCACTGAGCTAGTTTCTGGATTTTTTTTTCAGAGGAAATGGTTTCACCTATAGTTTTAGATTCCGTGTCCATGGAAGGAGGCGAGTTCAGGCTCTTCCTGTGTTGCCATCTTGAACTGGAAGTATCTAATTGTAGAGTTTTGATGTAGCTGGGCTATTGGTTTTAAACCTGTACCTTTAGTTTCTGATGATAGTTAGGGAATCAGAGTAGTAACCATATGAATCATATGTTTAAGAATTGGAATGGGTCCAGAAGTTATCTAATCCAATTTCCATTTCTTTACTGACAACAGTTTGAATAATTTAAATAGGAGAAGCTTGAAACTGGAACCTAAAGCTTCCACTCAGCATTAGTTCTACTTTCTAGAGCAACATGAAAAATCATATACAATAGTATTGAAACTCTAAGATCTTCCCTAATTCTATATACTACTTCTATATTCTTAAATTTATATAACCATATTCTCTGGTGGTATCCCACCCCGCCTTTTAAAATATCTGAATTTGCAATGGTTCTTTCAATGAACAGCATATCATAATCAAATTGATTTTTTTCCCTTGATACACAAAGTAATGATTTATTTTATAGATGGTAATTTAGATTTAACGAACTGCAGTATATGAACCTGTACTGTCAATGTGTTATCCAAGTGGAAATGTTCAGTTGGAAGTGGTGGCCTGCGTCTTTAGAGAGGTGAAGGTGCAAAACGCATTCACCCATCCCAATATTCCCTAAACTATCAATCACATGACAGCATCAGCTCTAAGAGATTAATGATATAGCTAACAGCATGTCATTGCTGATCTCAGGCAGAGCTCAAATGAGGAAACAAATCTTGGATCTTTCAAGGATGGAGGGAAATAGGCAGAGGGCTACTAAGTTTGAATACTGCTTTTAGAGTGAGGAAAGAACTTAAACATATTTACTGTAAGGGGGGAAATTGAGATGAAGAAACTGAAGATTTTGAAGGGAATGGATTATTGACTGCTGGGAGAGAGGGTTAGTCAATGGGTAAGTGGGAAGAGGACCTTAGGGATTTTCTGCAGTAACTTCCACTTTTCTTTTTGAAGTAGAAGGCAAGGCCACCTGCAGACAGGGGGGATGTGGCTGGGATGAGAGTGTGAAGACCTGACATTGGACACCATCAGTACTTTGTGTGATATCCTCCAGATCAGAATAGGACTCTAGTGGTGTGTTTTGTTTTTATTAATTTTTTTTTTATTGATTTCAGAGAGGAAGGGAAAGGGAGAGATAGATAGAAACTTCAATGATGAGAGAGAATCATTGTTTGTCTCCTGCACACCCCTTACTGGGGATTGAGCCCACAACCCAGGCATGTGCCCTTGACCAGAATTGAACCTGAGACCCTTCAGTCTGCAGGCCGACCCTCTATCCACTGAGCTAAACTAGCTAGGGTTACTCTAGTGGAGTTTTAATGGTTGTGATAAGAATGCTCATTTAGGTTTCTAAAGCACCAGTTAGTTTCTTTTTTTAAAGCCTTTAAAACTTCAATTTCTTTACCAAGACATGGGATAGGTAGTGTTTAATGCTTAAATTTTTATTCTGAATAGATTCCAATCAGAAATTAAATGACTAAAAGGATAAATGCCACTTGTAACTGCTAAGTTAATTTGTAATATATTTAAGTGTTCTGTTTACCTTTGCAGAATTCTTTGCTTTCCCCCCATTCTTGGGTGCTTTGGAGCTGGAAGCAGTCTTCTTGTCTTTGTCCTAAAGCAAAGGAAAGGTAATGAGGCTATTGCCATCATTAATCCATCTATCAATTCAGACTACTATTTTTAGTAGCATGGAGATCTCCAATTAAATAATTTAAAACTTCGGGCATTTTAGTCAGGATTTTTTGAACAATGATGAATATATACAGAAGTGATTAAGGTTGGAGGTAAGAGGATAAAAATTCAGGAAATGTGGGTCACACTGATGCTCTGACAATTTCCATGATGCCTGTGATTCACCCAGACCTTATGTTGCTTATCAAGAATAGGACATTGTTTTCAGTGTTACAAAGAGAAATGGAGACAACCACAGATAGCTGGGGGAAGTCAAGTATAAAAATAAAGCCCACTCACCAAAAAGACATTATTTGAGTTTCCAGGAATGAGAAATCAGTTGCTGAGGCAGACTAGGAATTAAATCACGCAATAGGGCAGCGGCTCTCAACCTGTGGGTCGCGACCGCTTTGGGGGTCGAACGACCCTTTCACAGGGGTCGCCTAAGACCATCGGAAAACACATTGTTTTGTGATTAATCGCTATGCTTTAATTATGTTCAATTTGTAACAAATTGGGGGTCACCACAACATGAACTGTATTAAAGGGTCGCGGCATTGGGAAGGTTGAGAACCACTGCAATAGAGGAAGGACTGGAAATTCAGTGATTGGGAGATATACATAATAGCAAACCAAGATCTATGTCAATTTCACTTTTTCTCCTGATTTATGGAAGGGTTTAATATAATGGTAAAATGCCACACACACACATTTTTTTCATTCACTAATAAACACATTTTGACATCTTTTATATACCAGGCATTTTGCTAATGCTGAGCACAGAAGTAAAAGGCATATCACTACTAAGTGAAGTACACAGCTGAGTGGTATAATACACATGTGACCATAGGTAACCCAGATGGCAGGGAAGGGAGAAGTGGTAAGAGAAGCCTTCCTGAAGGAGCTGATAGTTGAACTGGGCCCTGAGGGATGAGGAGGAAGCATTGTTGTACAGCAATATAGTGTAGCAGTAAAAAATGATGGCAACATGGAAAACATTTATGAATAATGTTATGCACTGTATTTTATGGACTCTAAATACAACTATATAAAATATATAGAGATGGAAAGACAAGAAATGTACTAAGTAGTGTTTGCAGGGTAGTAGAATTATATTGTTTTCCTCTATGGCATCAATATACTTTATAGTCTAAAATTATATGTGTAGACACACATTCAAAGAAAGTCAATATGACAAAGTACAGTACCTTTGCTGTGTTGTCTGAGGTTTCTGTACTTGAAGAACAGTTGTCAAAATCCCCTGAGAGGGAATCACTGGGGTCTTGATCATCTGCAGGTTTCTGAAACATTAACAGAAATAACCACCAGTGAAGAAAGCAAGGAAAAAATGCTGGGTGGTACCTTTTCCCACACCCCTTATTAAAAAAAAAAAACTTGATGACATTCTTTTTCTAATGAAGTAATGTTTTACAAGGGAGATATTAAAACAAAAAACATGGACAGCAAGTTGCTTAGTATTCTCCGAGCCCTGATTTTCTCACATGGAAAACGAAACTGCCTATTTTGAAAGGTTCTTGGGAAGACTGACTGAAAGAAAATACTACACTCTTAAATACTCTTGGCATCACACCAAGCACAGGGTGGGCATTCAATAAATATTTCTAAATTGCAAAAGTTGCAGCTAGAATTTTTTTAAAAAATCTTTTTATAGAAATAAGCACCTATGGTATTTACCTTTGGTTCCCTTGTGGGTGGCTTCACTGGTTTGTCCTTAAAAGCAAAGCAGACTGTTGGTTAGACATAAATTTTTGTAAAGGTTTACTTAAGTGCAGTCAGCGTTTATATAATCAATATTATCCAATGACTTGGAGAGTATATATTTGCAACAACTGATTAACCTGGGTCCCTAATTACCGCCCTATAACTATTTCAGTTTCCTGGGAGAAAATGCAAGAGTGAGAGTCCTGTCCTGGAGGTGAAAGAAACACTGTTTAGGAACTTTCTGCCATCATGTGTTACAATTCTACTTAAAATATTACAAAAGCAACTTGTGATTTTATGTCTTAGTTTCTGCAGCTTATTATAGGTCGAAGGATTTGAGGAGCAGTCTGCAGAGCACAAACCGTCAGGGATTTTTCCCATCTACAAAGGCAAGGACATTAACTAATTTATTTCCCCACGGATCAAGCAGGATTAAGTGGGACTACCAAAACAGGGAGGATTGTAACTAGGTGGAAAATTGCTATCATGAGGTATACCTGGTGAAAGCAAGGAGAATGGATGGGACTTATGATTGAGGATAGGGTTTTGTGGGTGTAGGAGAAGGAGGAAAGGGAGACCCCAGGTTTGCAGGTGCCTTATTTGCCCTATTAATTATTCCAATCCTAGCTCCTTAAACAGAGAGACTCTGCTTCAGTTAGGATTACAAATACCATTATTCTTTTTGATAGTCTTTTCTTGTAAAAAGAATTCATCTGTGTACATGCCTTGGAATCTCTGTGGAGCATCAGTGAGTGACTGCACATTATTCAACTCTCTTTACACCACGGTGTCCACATAACGGAACAGCAAACAATATTGGTGTCAATAAATATTAAATAGAATCCTAGAAAGCCTGTTTATCATGGGCACATTAAAAATAGTCACATTACATGTTTATGCTACTCTCAAAGTGTGCCCTCCTCGTCATGTCGAGTGAGGGTTGAATTTAAAAGGCTTTGTTATATGTATCCAATCTAGACATTTGCCTTCGTTTACCTTATCATCGTTATCCAAGAGGTGTCTGTATTCAGGTGGGATAGTGTCATCTCTTTCTCCCAGCTTGTCTCTATGTTCAGCTTTCGCTCTTTCCTATAAACATTGAATGGATATAATTAATATTCCTTTCTGCCTTTGCTTATTGTGAAATGCAGCATTTTCAGCATTTATTGTATGTTATTTTCTGAGGCAAAACATATGATCTTTTTTATTAAGGGAACAAATTGCATGACTTGAACATACTATTAGTTGATGGAAAAAAGTAAACCCATGTGCTTCTATGTCAGTTTACATCTGTGAATTTTCCACCTGTATTTTAAACTGAAGTAAATTATTAAATAATTATTCCAGAAACCATGTAAAGAGATAAAATTCAAGGGCATAAAATACCTTTTTCTGTGAGTTTCACTTTTCAAACAAAAGAATCAAGTCACTGTAGCTTGGCTTTAGATAGGTAGCCACTATTTTTTAGCAACCCTGACTGGATGCGCTGACTGCAGTGTTGCAAGTGAGAAAATACCTGCTGTTAAGTAAGCAGCACCGGGGGCCTAGCATCCCACCTCAGTGGGGTGTGGCTGGTCTCTCCCCTGCCCAGGGAGTGCTTTAGATTTTGTTTTTCTGCATCTTTTAAGTTTCATTTTTGAAATATAGGCTAAGTTCACATTCAGTATTCCTATGTAATGATTCTTTGAAATGTCTTGTTTTTGGGACACCAATTTGGATGGTCAGTTTACTTCCTGGCTCCAAGCTAAATGGATTGTTGAATATTGTATGTTAAGTATAAATACATGTTGTATAAAAGATATGGAGAGAACAGTTTGTGCCTTGCAGACACACCTCTGCACAGTGTTGAACTCCTGGTCCCACGCTCTCTTCCTTTTGGAATTTGCACACAGTTAGTTATGCCAGCAGAGAAGGCTTCTCGGGAAACCTCTGCCACGACGTACACAGACTGTGTCAGCCTAAGAAATGCACACTTATGGGTGTCATAAGCTTTTCGATCATAACAAGGTTTGGTCTCACAAACAGGACATTTGCCTGAATCTGTGACACAGCGTAGTCCTCACCGAGGAAGTAAAGAAATACAAACTAGACCACAGAGAGGGGAAAAATGAAACAGTTCTCCAACTATTCACTAACTCCAGACAAAGTTGGAAGTTATTTTTTGTGTGTGTAGAGGGTAGAGTATTCTATGCTGTGAAAAAAGCCTTAAATTTTCTTTACCTTGACTTTATCCTTTATTGGCTTGTCCTCATCTGGATCAGGCTGCCTCTGCCCTAGACTGTCCGAAAGTTGATCTAGAGCATCGTCGAGTTCTTTGTCCTTCTGTTAAGGTAAATCTGAATTAATCACTGGTTGGCCAAATCAGATCACCCTTTTGAGAATGGCCCCAACATCACCGCTAATACTTCCATGAGGATTTTCACGAGGGAGATGGACTTGCGGGGTGGAAGGCACTGGACTGCCAACCTTTGGTCAGTGCTTTTCTCTCTGCTCTCTGGCTCTCAGTGACCTCTTGGCACCTGTCTACCCCTGCCCCACCCCCAGATATCTTGTACCGTCTAAGAAAAGTCTCTCTAAAAAAATGGGGTTCTCTGGCCTGATTTGCTTGGAAATATGTCTTAAAATGCTTTCAGTGTCTGTAACACTACTGGTGACAATCTAATGTCCCCAGCAATGAATTTTATAGTTTAGTTTACTCTTCGATTCTGGAGTATATTCATTAAAATACAGATTACACCTAGTTTTGGTGATGGCTCCAAATAAAATATTAAAACTAGACCCTCTGATGGAAAAACTGATTTAAAAGAAGGTAGCATTCTAAAACATACTTGTGAAAGGCAAATGCATGCAAAAAGAAACTAGACCACTTTCATAAAACTCTGAGGAGAAAACACAGGCAGTAAAATCTCTGACATTTCTCTTAGCAGTATTTTTTTCTGACATATATAGGCAAGAGAAACAAAAGAAAAAATAAATGAGACTACTAAAAAGTTTTAGTACAGCAAAGGAAACCAACAAAACGAAAAGACAACCTACTAAATGGGAGAACCTATTTGCCAATGATTAGGGGCTAATATCCAAAATTTATAAAGAACTTGTACAACAAACAATCCAATTTAAAAATGTGCAGAGGACCTGAATAGATACTTCTCCAAACAGGACACACAGATGGCCAATAGACATACGAAAGGATGCTCACTGTCACTAATCACCAGAGAAATGCAAATTAAAACCACGTCATGGTGGGAATGCAGATAGGTGCAACCACTATGGAAAACAGTATGGAGGTTCATAAAAAAAAATTGGAACTGCCTTATGACCCAGAAATTCCACTTCTGGGTATATATCCAAAGAAACGCAAAACACTAATTCGAAAGGATATATACACCCTTATGTTCATTGCCAGTGTTATATATAATAGCCAAGATTTGGAAGCAGCCCAAGTACCCATCAAAAGAGCAAAATCCTACCATTTGCAACAGCACAGATGGACCTAGAGCCGTGGTTCTCAGCCTTCCTAATGCCGCAGCCCTTTAATACAGTTCTTCATGTTGTGGTGACCCCCAACCAAAAAATTATTTTCGTTTCTACTTCACAACCATAATTTTGCTACTGTTATGAATCGTAATGTAAATATCTGATATTCTATATGTGTTTCCCGATGGTCTTAGGCAACCCCTGTGAAAGGGTCGTTCAACCCCCAAAGGGGTCGCGACCCACAGGTTGAGAACCGCTGACCTAGAGGGTATTGTGCTAAGTGAAATGAGTCAATCAGAGAAAGACAACTAACATGATTTTACTTATATGTAGAATCTAAAGAATAAAACTGAAACAGACTCAGAAATGCAGAGAGCAGACTGATGGTTGCCGGGGGGAGCAGCATTGGGGGACTGGGTGAAAAAGGTGAAGGAATTAAGAGGTAACAAAATAGTCTTGGGATATAAAGTACAGCATAGGGAACATAGTTCATATTTAATAACTATGTATGGTGCCCAGTGGGTCCTGGAAATAGGGGGGAGGGAACACTTTGTAAAGTATATGATTATCTAACCACTATGCTGTATACCTGGAACTAATGCAAATGAATATTAGATGTAAACTGTAGTTGAAAAAGAAAAATAACTGAAAGAAAATAAAATCAGGAATCTTTTTGCTTAAAAAGAAAAGGCCTTTGATTGTGGATGTCTACTAACAGCCTCCATCGGGGCAGAGCCCCTCACCTGAGTATTAAGAACGGAAGTGTTAGGCAGCCTGGGTTATTAATGATTCCTCCTTTCTGCAGCACAGGGCCTTTCATCCTGTGGGTGTCTCACACACACAGCATTTTACTAGCTTTACGTGCTCCCTGAGAGCCCAGGATCATAGCTGCTGCCAGTGGAGCCGCCCGCCCTCCGCAGGGTCTGGGCTTTGTCATTTGGGCCCTGGATATTTTCAGATGCTCCCGAGGCTGACCCAACAGGCTGGAAATTCACTCAGAATCTCTGACTACAGCACTAAGTGAGCTTTGATGCTACATCAAAAGGAGAGGAAGCATAGCTGACTTCACTAAAGCTACTTCATCTCCATCTAGCAACCCGGCGCTTCTCAACCAGGGGAGATGGGGGTCTGGTTTAGGGCAATCTCTATCTTTTGATGTGCCGTGGTCTCCTCGATAATTCCACATTTGGTACTGCGCAGAAAATTAATCAAGGAAGTCTGGAAGAACTTTGATCCCTCAATCTTGCCTCGGAACATGTAAATAATTAAAACAGTATTGATGCTGAGGTTTTTCTATTGCTAGCATGAAAATGACACATTTTCAACTGGTGTGAATCGGAGGAAAACAATGCCAGTCCATGATACGTTTGTTAGTTTTTGGGGGGGAGAAGCTCAAATACTGAACAATGCCATAAAATAAACTTGAAGTTAAATAATGGATAGTATTTACGGTGCGTGTTAAGAAAAAAAGGAGAAAAATCAATGATCAGAAAAGCTGAAAAAATTTCAAATCAAATAATTTAAATATGTACACATTGCACTTTCAATTCTAATAAAACAACAATTTAAGCTCCTCAACTTTGTATAAAATATTTTCACATATATTGTTTCCTTTGATCATTTTCAATATTCTGTCATCTCCCTAAGTCGCTCGTCTTCTCTCTTCTGAAGGTGCCCCATCTTTCTAACACTTTTTGTTTATTTCCACTTACTCTAAGCAGGAGTCCTACTTTCTTTCCTCTTGTTGCTACCGTGGAAAAAGTATAAAATATGTTGCTTACCAGAGTGCTAGGGGGTGGGCCTGCAGAGTGCGTGGTTGCAGCTGGGGTTTGGGAAACCAGTTCGGAGATGGCAGCTGTGAGTTTAGTATTGTCAAATGGCTTCTGTTAAAAGAAAGACAGACTTTGATCGTTAATATGTTATATACAAAGCTATGTTCACAATGCCATCACTTAAATACAACTCTGAATGTAGCTTTATGATTGTTAATTCTCTTGATCCAAAGGGAAAGCCTCATAACATAGAATCTTAAGAGAGATTTTTATTCTATTTCTTACTCCATGGTATTATTTTGCACAACTTCTATTCCTATTTATGATTCTAAATGGTGCTCAGTAATCTAATGACTTAGGGCTTCATGGTTTGTTTACACATTTCTTATTATATTTTTGCAGTGTTCCAGCTTTCTTCTGTATAATTAGTTGCCCTGAATCAAAGTTCTAGCAGTGGTTCTTTTTTTTTTTTTTTTTTTTGGTGTTAGCTAAATTCTGCCAAACTGCCCCCTCAGAAGTTACTAGGAAGTTATACTGTTAAAAGCAGTGAATACGCAAGCCTTGCTCACCAAAATGAGGTATTTATCATATATTTCAAATTCTGATAATATATTAGGTATGATGTACGACTGTTACCCGTTATATAGTATGAAGTTTCAGTTTTATTATTATTCCAGAATCTTTATGAAGTGATTTCTTCTCTCATTTTAAAAATGTACTAAATCTGTCATTTATGTTTATTTCTTGATTTCTTTTTCCATTGCCCTGTGACTTTGCTTTCTGAATCAGAACTGGTTTTTTTTTTTTAACCATTATTGTATTATAAAGCCTTGTGTTTAGTTAGGTTAATCTTCCCTAAAAAGAGCGAAAAATGTTTTTCAGTATTTTTTCACATTTTTATGCATTCCCTTTCAAATATATTTCAGAATAACTTTGAGTTATATTAAAGTATCATTACTACTTTTAAAAAATATTAACTTAAAAATGACTGGAAATAATTGTTGTCATCCTTTTAAGACATTTATCAAACTGCCTTAGATGTATGGGTTTTAATTTCTTCATATTCTTGTTTTTGTTTTGTCTTCTATTGCAATTTTCTGTATATATGTCTACATCTTGTTAATTATATTTTCTAATCTGTTACTAATATACATAACATACATAATGTTATGTACAAAGGTGAGAGCAAAAACTTCTGACAACTCCAAGGAATCATTATTTTTTTCTACTTGTCACTTATTCTATTTCTCAACTGACACATATTTTCCATGCCATTGTCCACATAGGATTAAATAACCCAGACTCCACAGAAAAGGTTCTGCAGTTACATACGTTTGGAAATTCCAAAAGCCCTGAAAATCCTACAGTGGAGAAACCTGCTTACGGTTACCCAACATTTTCCAAACCTTCTAGTAACAGAATTCCCTTTGAAGGCCGATATATTCCACAGGAAGCTGTTTCCTTAGAGCTAATTTGGAAAATGACCAAATTGTAGAATATCAACTGGTAAAATTGTCTAAGAAGTAATTTTAGATAAACTCAATTTGAAATTCTCTTTTCATAGGTGTACTGATAGAGTACATGCTCATCACTGGTTTAATTAGTGACACTGTTGAAAATATTAACTGTGCTGGAACAATATTTACTATTTCATGATGCAACACATTTTTAGTGGCTACTGTGGGTTGAGGGCCATTTATTCGGTGACTGTTTCCTCACCTCCCAAGTCAGATTCCAAGTCACAGGTTTCCATTTATTTCTGCCACTCTGAAAGTGAGGAAATAAAACCCGGGGTTTCAGACTTACAAGTGGTGAAGTGTCTGGGGGTCCACCGAAGTCCTTAGACAAGGCATCAAGAAGGAAGTCTTCACTCAAGGGCTGCAAGAACCAGGAAATGTATCAGACACCACATTTGTCTCATCTTCAAAATGACGTTAGTATTCATAAGCTGGTCAACTCATTAAGAAGAGATATGCCCTTCCTGAATTACAGTTAGGGCCACGTGAGAAAGACATGCTCAGAGAAAACTGGCTTGCTTACTGGGAGCGATTCCTTGGACTCTTTCGGCAGGAGTGGTTTTCCGTCTTTGTCCTATCCGGGGGGAGAAAAACATGGCACTGAGTCATTTCGCATTCATCCTAAGGATGGGCCCTTATAAACATTATCAGGTTATACCTGATGTTGCTGTGCATTATCAATTAGATCATCATTTCAGGAAATAGAATCTCTCACCAGAGAATATGCCATAATTAGTTCATGGCACCAAACAGCTCCAATATACCAGGTACTCCCTGGGCACAAGGGCTACAAAGCTGATGGGGCAGCCTGTGACCTCGGGAACCCCCAAACAAGTGCCGGAAAAAACACGTGAACAGTTCATATATGCGGCGCGTGGCGCTGTGACAGGGCACCTGCAAGGCGCCGTGGGAGCCTGGGGCGAGCCTGGGGGTCGGAGGGCTTGCAGAAGTAGCTTAGAAAAAGCTGGTTAACTTTAGAGGCAACGTGAAACTTCCACCAAACAAAGTGGTCAGGGAAAGCCAATCCACTGCTACGAAAATTCAGCAAAGGGAGCGAGAAAGCAACCAACATCCCATGAGGAAGGGAGTGACCTGCCCCTACACATCTGGGGAGGGGGTGAGTAGGGACAGAACACATGGCCAGTAAGAAGCTCTCTAAAAACCCTGCAACAGCAAACACACAAGCCCATATTACTAATAGAAATGCCATGGTCTCAACTGAACTGGGAAATCAGAAGCAGCCCTAGCCGCCTTTCCTCAGCGGATAGAGCATTGGCCTGTGGACCCAAGCGTCCCGGTTTGATTCCAGCTGCAGGCTTCTCCCTGGCCCGGGCTCAGGTTGGGGCTCGTGCAGGAGGCAGCCAATCGATGTGTTTCTCTCACTTTGATAGTTCTCTCTGTCTTTTCCTCTCTCTAAATACCAATGGAAAAATACCCTTGGGTGAGGATTAAAAAAAAATGCAGAAGCAAGCAGAATAATAAACTCTTAACCTGGGAGAGCTCAATAGAGCTCCCATCTTTGCCAGACGAAAGGAGCAATGCACATGGGACGAGGAAAGGGAGTATCAGGTGGACTTTCCTGAACTGTTCACGTTTAGTTGGATATCCTCTTAAGTAACGGCACATAATGGAGAGACTGGCATCTGTTCTACTGCCCATGCATCTGCTCCTGCTCAAGTGGCCGAACTTAAACTACAAGATTCATACTGGGGTCTCCCGTCACTTGTTCTGAACAATCTGTACATCCAAAATAAAGAACACAGCGCTCTTATTTTTTTCTTTATATCTAAAAGTTGCAAATTTTCCCTCACAGGAAACAACTGTCCATTTCCATTTTCCTATCTATATAAAGCTTTCTAAGTTTTCTTCTGGTATTGTAACAAACCATGGATTAGATAGGAAAAATTAGGCAGTTTACCAGTAGTTGGCAAACTCAAATATCACCAGTACAAAGATTGAAATTTCTTTTGAGAGCCAAATTTTTTAAACTTAAACTATATAGGTAGGTACATTGTTATTAATTAGGGTACTCCTAAGGCTTAGGAAGAGCCACACTCAAGGGGCCAAAGAGCCACGTGTGGCTCGCGAGCCGCAGTTTGCCAACCATGGGCTTAGACCTTAGATTATTTTCCCTTCAGGGAGGACTAAAAATGCCAGTTAGGAATATTTTAGCTTCACATCTGGTGCGCTAACAGGATATCAATACTATTTGGTATTTGAAGTATTAAAAAGCAGATCTTTATATTCCAGGTCTGCTCCCATGCCCCTTTTTACGTACGTGGAATTCAGTATGAATTAAAACAAAGTAGGAAATACACGCCAGCCGATTTACCTTGGCCTCTTCTAGTCTGTAGTCAGGAGGAATTGTTTCTTCTTTTTCACCAAGCTTTTCACGATCCTCCTCTTTGGCTTTCTCCTAAATAGAAATTATACCATTTCCATTGTCAATACATCTTTTCTCCATAGAGCGGCTGCCTGAATGACTAAAGCTGAGGTAAATACTAGTACATCCATCGTTAGGTTAGAACGTACATATGGCCCTATGTGCAGAGTTCCGACGGCACCTTACTCTTTAACAGTGTCCCGGTTTAGCGGGCTCAGACCCCACCACGAAGCCTGCTGGGCTCCAAGGAAGTCCCGAGGAAGCAGGCAACTGCCACTTCTCTCCCGAGCCCTGGGCAACAGGCGTGCAGGTGGGCCAGGGAGACCCCGGACTCTGACACGGGCATGCTGTCCATCCACCGCCGTGCTCACGCCTGATGCCCGCTCAGGCCGAGCTTCTTAAGCAGGGTATGTGCAGCAACAGGGAAAGCCAGCTGGTCATGTGTTGTGGGAAACATTCTAAAAAATGACACACTTATTTGGGGACTGAGGGTGGTCCATGGTAGTTATTTCTAGAAGCATCTGAGCTGCCATTACCTTGACTTTATCCTCCGCCGGCTTTCCATCCTCTGGGTCCGCCTCCCGTTTCCCCAGGCTGCCAGCCAAGGCTTCCACAGCGTCGTCAGGCACCATGCCCTTCTACAATACAGGAGCGGATGTACGGAATAGGGGGTTAATGCCTCCCTTTAAAGAGACTACATCAAACAGTTCAGAAGGGCACATCCTCATTTCAGACCTGGATAAGAAGCGCATGTTATCTTTTAATCATTTGGATTATCAACTGAATTAGAATCTACGTTAGAAATCAGAGCAAGTTTCATGTATTAAGCATGAAGTGTGTGCAATGGATATACCGACACTGAGAAACTTGTAAGCTCTAACCCAGCGGTTTTGGTTTGGATATAAGGCAGGCGACGGAACAGGTGCACCACAGACAAGCTGACAGCCAGGACAGAAGAAAGGAGTGGTTTTCTGAGACTGTTCTTGAGGCGGCGAAGGAAAGGTTTCCAGAGAAGCCCAGGAGAGGACATTCTTCTCGATGTGCTGTGAACCAGCCTGGCCGTCCCGGGGTGGGGGGTGGGGGGTGGGGCGGTCCTGCTGAGGCACAGAAGCCCAGGACCTGCTCAAAGGGATTCACGCTGACCCAGGTGAACGCCTGTGGCTGACTGACCCGAGGGGCACAATGACACTGTGGTCCGGTTCAAATGAAATGTGCTCCCTCATGATGTAGTGAAAACGTGGGTGGACATCGAGCATAAATGGTATAAAAGGGAAAACAAAGAAGAAATAACTACGTTTGGGCTAAACGAAAGGACTATACCTGGCTTCTTCCAAACCACAGGCCACGAGCCACATGTGAATGGCTCGTGAAATCAATTTAGAGTTCGTGGCCAGGACGTTTTGTTTTTTATAAAACCGTAGAACAGAACACATCTTGCATAACAAGGATAAGTACCACTTATTAAACTGCTGTTTCTATTGTGTGGGTACTAGATTGTGATATCAATACATTTCTTACTATTGGTCTTGGTCAAAAATATGAAAGCCCCTGAATTAAACAGTCTCCCAAAACTTTATTCTTATCAGAAAAGTCTATGACCTCATACTGAGTATACATTGGGATTTTAGAGTAAAAAGTCTCTTTCTCTTGTATAGCGTGGCCATCATTCCAAGTGAAAAAAGTTGCTTCTCTGCTAAACTGCACTGCCTAAGGGAGTACCACCACCAAGGAAAGGGAGCCTAAGTGGAAAGTGATTTATCGCCATCTAGTGGTTGGACGCTGCATAGATTTTATTCCAAGAGCAACAAAAATCCCTGCTGTAACTAATTTGTTTGGGATTATATCTAAATTGCAAGAGTTGCAGCAATCCCAAATCTTAGCCAAGCAACTCGAGTTGCTATCTGATCCCGGACACCTGCTCACACTCTATGTCTGCTTTCTCCTACTCTCTGCTGTGGAATCTTTCGAAACCACTCTTTTCTGAGCCTCTGTCCTTTGACTTAAGAAATAAGTGATTTCCAGCCTTAAAAAAAAGATGAAATACTGCCTCTTGTGACAACATGGGTGGATATTATGCTAAGAGAAATAAGTCAGACAGAAAGTCAAGAACCATATGATTTCACTCATATGTGGGATATAAAACTGAAAGCAACAAATGAACAGACAAGAAAAACAAACAAAAATTCGTAGACACAGACAACAGTATGGTGGTTACCAGAGGGAAGGGGCAGGTAGGGTAAAGGGGGTCAAATATATGGTGGTAGAAGAAAATTTGACTTTGGGTGGTCAACGTACAATGCAATATACAAATGGTAAATCATAGAACTGGACACTTGAAACCTGTATCATTTTATTAACCAACATCACCCCAATAAATTTCATGGGGGTAAAAAAGTGCAACAGAAAAGCTTGGAGAAGCAGCAGCAGTCTTAAGAACTAAGGAATCGGGAAATAGGACTAAGGACTAAAACTTCTATTTCTATAGCATTTCATGTTGTCAGATTCAGAACCAGAACTCAGGTTTCTGGATTTCCTCAATAAATGTTCTTTACATACAAACAAGAACCACATGGTCACCTCCTGCCTCTGGTCTTTGTTACCTTTTGCTCACTAATCCTCAAGCCTTTCTCGAGTCCTCTGACCTTTATCACACACTGTAGCTATTCTCTCTGGTTCCCAAGGGTGTCACAATCCCAGAAATGCCAGCGAGCCTCGGTGACGGTAATCTTGGCAACTGTGGTAACCAGAGCTGCTGGGGCACAGGCCTGGGAAAGCGGGTCAGAGAGCGGGAAAACAAGAGCTCTGTTTGTTTTCTGTCCACTAAACGCCCAATGCTGGGCTCTACAGTCAGGGTGAGGTTGGAGAGGAAGTCACTGAGCCCTCTGAGGCCCTGGCAGTCACACTTGGCATGAGAAGTGGATGACACATGCTTAGGTCACAGGGTTCTGCCCTGGAATGCTGGCTATTATCGTCCTGATTCCCATCACGGCCTCTGTTCCTACTCCTTCTCCAACCTGTTCTCAGGTTCTCTCCTCTCTCCCGGTCTTTGCCACCATGGCCTGTGCCTGGCTCCCACAATGCTGAACTTCTAGAGCAGTGGTTCCCAACCTGTGGGTCGCGACCCCTTTGGGGGTCAAATGACCAGGTTGAGAAACACTGTTCTAGCGAGTACCCTGAAACCTTAAGAAAGCGGGGGTGGGCGGGGGGGCTCAAATCTTGCATATGGCAGGAGGGAGACCCTGGGCTTTGAGGGGATTTGCAGTTGGCATCAAGGACTTCCCTGGTGGAAAGAGCCACTGCCGGACACCCAGGACACTGGCCCTACACCTCAAACACCTAGATGCACATATCCCACGTATCCCAAGTGCCGCACACCCGGTGCTTGGCCTGTCCTCGGCTCACTGGTCTCCCCAAGAAACAGCGCTACTGCCACCCTCAGTGTGACGCCGCCCATCACCTGCAAGCCTTTCCTAATTCTCCCGGAGGGTGAGGCACCCACAGTCCCTGTGCCCTTTTCCACACGAGTGATCAAGTTGTGCCGTAAGCTTGAGATCTGACTCATATCCACACTAGACTTGAAGGTAGCTTAGGGCTGGAGCCGTATTTTCATTTCAGCTACGGTTCTGAAAGGTTAAGCTGCTTATTCAAGGTCAGTTTATAGGTTCATTTCCCTCATCTATAACAGATGATCAGTCTGTATCGTGTCCCTGTGAAAATTTAAGAAGATACTATAAAGCATCTAGAACAGGTTAACTAGTCAGAGTACAGAGCCACCAAGTCCATAGTATTGAAACATAGACCACTGATGTTATTTTCTAAGTCAGGCTCTATGGGCTAGTGAATTCAAAAGGAAACAAAGATTCCACTAGTTAAATATCAGAATTCAGCCAAAAGATAGAAAGTGAGAGAAACAAGAAATGAAGAAGGGAGAGGAGCTGAGTCAATCTCTCCCCCTTCAGGTGGGAGTGGGGGTCCTGATGATACTGGTGCAGATTGTCCCCCCAGGAGTCAGGAAAAGGGAGATCAGGCTCTTTGTGAAACTCCAAATAGGCTCGAAAAATGCAGAAAAGTGAAAAAGCATGATTACTCACCATCACTAGGGAACTAGAAAGGATTTCAGAAGGTGCAAGAAAAAACACAGCTTACAGGAATCTAATTAAAAATTTAAATATAGCCTGACTTTCTAGCACACCCTGAAGCCCCAAACAGTAGCGACTAGAGCTAGAGAAGATTTCTTATTGTGTCAGAATAAAACCATAGGTTGGTGCAAGAGCAGACAGTGCATGGGAGGAATATCACTTTCCCGGGACATTTCTCAGTGCCCAGAGGACCACTCACCGAGGCTGCGGGCTTGGGTGGTGCTGACTGCACACTGCACAAGGAGGTGCGAGGCACATCCTCTCCCACCGGAGCCGGGGCGGCGGCCTGCGGTTCCTGTGGGAAGAAGCAGGTATGATGACGCATTTTTTGAGCCAACTGGCTAGAAACACTGAACAATGATGAATCAACAATACACTCAGCTATAGAATACTCTGTGAGCATGATTTTCCTGGACACCTAAGGTTGTTGAATAGTGAATAAGTCAAGGCACGTTAAAGCTCTTTGGCTACCATTATTCCAACTTACTGGTAGTTTTACCTCTCTCCTTAGGTAGGTTAAGACTCAGTTTCCACATCTGAAAAGTGAGAACAATAGTAGTATCTATATATCAAGTGTTAACAGGGGGCTTTAAGGAGATAAAACATGTGAAGTGTTTTGCATAGTACCTGGGAACAGTAAATGCAATAAATTTTAGTAACTATGATTTCTGATTTCTTATTTTTATAAATTATTTCTCATCATATATCATATAATACAATGCAATATTTTACATCAATACATCATTTTTATGTATCTAAGAGCACCCTGCACATTGTAAACAGCTATCTACAAATGCAAGCAGTAAGACTACCCCAGGAGTTCTCAGAGTGTGGTCCCTGGACCAGCCGCCTCAGCATTTCCAGAGAACTTATTAGAAATGTAAATTCTCAGGCCCTCACACCAACACCACTAAATCAGAAATTCTAGGGGTAGGGCACAGCAATCTGTTCTAACAAACCCTCAGGTGATGCTGATGTATGCTAAAGTTCGAGAGCTTTATTTTATCACAAGGTAAGAATTCAAATAAACTATAATCCAGGCATTTATGGAAATCTATCCTATGTGCACGGTGTTTAGCAGATGACTATTAATAGGGTACGATTTCTTCTTCAAAGACCTTTCTATTTAAAACTATGTATAAATGTAAGGTGTAAACGACCAAGAACAAAACAAACAAATAACAAAAAACAAACAAAAAAAAGAAGGACCAAGAGCTAATAACTTGTTTGCAACAAATGCCTTAACAGGGATATATAAAGAAAGAACTACAGACTCCCTCATGTTTTATATCCTGCTTTTCCTGCTGAATTAGAGTTGGAAGTGTGGCCAGGTTTGGGGAGGGGAAAGCAGGAGACAAAGGCCATATTTTAGCACAACCTTAGAGGGATGACTAAGATTTGAGTTGATGTAGGATTAGGAGGGAAGGTTATTCCAGATGGAAGGAACCATGTGAGCAAAGCCATGGAGACACACATTCAATGTCATAGTTTAGTGATGTGGGGATGCACCTGGGTAGAAAAGGAAGCTGGGGCCAGAACACATTAGTGGAATTTTTTCTTGTGTAGAAATGGGTAGCTCCTGAAGTTTGGAGCAGGGGAACGACATGACTATAAGCATGCTCAAGAAAGAATTCTGGTGGACATATAGGACGGACTGGAAGGAGGCTGAAGACAGAGGCCATTTCCATCTTGAGGAGAGTGGTGATGACGACGTTAGCTAGGCCAGTCACAGAGGCAGGAATAGAAAGGAAAGCATGGGTGTGAGCGCTTTCCCGCAGGAATAATTGCAGGTCTTAAATTGCAAGGAAGTCAAGGTCAGCTTGGGGAAAGAAAGCACCTTCAGAAAAAGGCAAAACAAAAGCTGCGTGTAGAAAAAGACAGCATACTGGGCTTTCTTATTAACCACTTTGTGTTAAAACACTTTTGGCATCATATTTTTAAGATTTTAGAAAATCATTTAAAAAAACAAACAAAGCTAGAGACTTGTTTTTAGAAACATACTTTTGTTTTTTCAGTTGGCTTAGATGGTTTTTCTTTACATTTAGCCTGGTCAAAATCTTCCGAAAGCTCATCAATGAGTTCTGATTCACTCCGGGGCTGTAATACAAGAGACATTGTATATTATGAAGTTGGTATTTTCTACTTCATTAAAAAAAAAGTTTTCATAGAGAACTTTTTCTGATTAACACAAATAGGGACATATGAGATCTAAAACCAAGAGCTAATTTATTTTTTAAAATATTTTTGATTTTGAGAGAGGAGGGGAGAAGTACAGAAAGAAACATCAATATGAACAAAAGCTAGTTTTTAGAGGACATTTCATTTATCAATGTAAGATAAGTGTTATGCAAAAAATAAGGAATATTAGACACCTCAGTGCCACAAAAATGTTAATAAAGTTTTCCTGACACTTCTATTACAGAGTAATTTTGCTCAAATAAAACTGCCTGTTCTTTCTAATGAAGATATGTGTAGTTTTTCTTTTGTGATTGCTTTTTCTCCTTCCCACTGACTTCCTTTCTGCATAAGTCAGAGGAAAAATAGAGTATGTTCTCCTCTCCTATGACTCCGTGGGGTTTTGGCAGGAAAGTTGTGTTACCCTTAGTTCCTGCAGGTGAGGTGGGTTATCTGTTTAGGGCATGTGGTGATTTTGCCTAATAAGAGTAACCTATGACAGAATTCAAAATCGGGGCCCCGAGTTGGGCAGCCTGAATTTGGATTCCTGGCCATGCTATGTTCTAACTGTGTGACTTTAGGCTATTTACACAATCTGTTTCCCCACCTGTAAAATGGGAATAATAATAGCACCTTCCTCTTTTAGTGAGGACACAAGAAGACAGCATATGAAAGGCATCTAGCACAATGTCAGGCACATAGTAAGTGATTAATAAATGTTGCTGGTTGATACCAAGCCAACTTAAGTGATGGCAGTGCGGAATCATTAGAGTATTTGCTGCTGTGATTAGAATCAAACTCAAGTAAAGTGTTAATCTGATTAAGGGCCTCTTGACATCAGCTCCTAATGTGCAGGGGATGTCACCTCGCAATGTGTAACAGTCTAGTGCTAATCCATGAGGAAAATAAATATGTGAAAAAGGAGTCACATATCTGTGCCAAGTGTTGCTATCCTTATCCTTCTGTCACAATTATCTGAATTTATACTTTACAGCTCTACTGTTCGGTAAGTATCCAGAAAAAACTTATTTCCCAACCTTGGATTTTTCTTCAGGCTCTGGCAATAGTGGTTTTCCATCTTTATCCTGCAAATGAAATTGAAAATTCATTGAAAACTAAATAGAAACTTTTGCTTTCATATCCCATTATGTTTGTCTTGGAAAATTGCAGGATATGAGAAGAGAGCTTTTTTCTACTCATGTTTGAGTGAATTTCTATTTCAGATTTATTTATAAAGTATCAGAATAAAGAGTTGAGTTGTAAAAATCATGAGACCAAATATCAAATATAATGCACATTTACTTTTCTTTAAAAATTGCTTTAAAAATTTTACCTATTCAATAGGAAAACAATTTAAAATATCTTCGGCAAGAAAGGTGCTACTACATTAGTGAAATATATATATTTTTAAGTGCCAATTTCCCAACCCAGGGTGAAGAGGTAGATATTATTCCTAAAATACTGTTTTAGTTTTTTTGGATATAAGGTTTCACAATTTAGAGTATTTCTAAAAGTGAAAAACTTTTCATCTATGAACATATGTGAGAATCACAACTATTTTCTATCATACGTTTATGTGATTACTTCAAAGACATATTACAGCTATAATTACAGGCATTAGTCCACCATTCTCACCTCAAAACAAAACCTTAACTGAGGACAATGATAAACAGCCTACGTTTCTATCCACCACTAACATCTATGGTGCTTTTATCCAGATAGCAGTTAGAGAAAAAAAGTATTCCCAGATTGTCCCTTCTGCTTTAAGGTAAAGGACCTACGTCAAGTATTGTAAATAGTAGAAAAGCTTGAATTTGTGGGAATTTTAATTACCACCTGGTCACTACTTAGGAAACCATCCCTTACAGGGTCCAACTCTAGAGAGCAGAGATGGAAGGGTCCAGGGCGCTCAGAGTTAGTATAGAAACCAAAACAGACATGTCCTTCCACTTCCTGGGACAGACACCCAAAACGCCATGGAAGGCCAGAGGCGTGCGCTGCTGTGTGCGCCGTGGCTAACAACGTACCGTGGCTGGTTTCAATCTGTACTCCTCTGGGACTGTTTCGTCATCTTCACCACACTTTTCTCGTTTCTCTTCTTTGGATTTTGCCTGATGAAAATGGAGACAATAAAATACGTAAACATTTGGATAATATATGTAAAACAAGATGGTATCACTTTATGTACTTCATAGGTGGTGCAGAGAAGACCAATTCAGACAAAAGTGTCTGGAAGGGCTTTGCAAACCACAAAGCAAAGACCGTGGTGAGCGGCTTTGAGGAAGGCAGCAAGTGGGGTGACCGAGAAAAACAGCCAGGAATCCCGGGGAGGTGACCCAGCCCTGCTCTCAGGCGCTGCATGACCTCGGGGGGCCACTTAGTCTTTCTTTGGCTCAGTGTCTTCAGCTGTAAAATGGGCCTACCAACGATCCTTACCCAGCTTCTGACTTGTAAGGATCGCGAGGAAAGTAAATAAAATACCCTATGAGACAGTCAGGCACAGTGCAGAAGTTAGTTGCAATTATTTCAACAGCCTCATCTTTCTTACTCAATGAGGCAGTTCTGTACCGGGGAGAAACCCAGTCCTCCTGAGTGTTAACCACACTCGGAAACGGGAGAAGCAGCCCATCACCAGTCCTGGCTGACGCATGGACAGCTCGCTTTGCCTCTTCTACAAGGACTCCCTTCACTATCACCAGGGCTTCACTCAATCAGTGAACCATGAACTACCAACTCCATTAGACATAAAAGGGTACAGCAGTTCTGTAATAGATCGCTGGCTCCCAGGATATATATAACATCTGCATTTTAAACAGTTGGTGAGTAAGGCGAAGTTCCGTGATATGTCACAATGTGTACCTATAGCAAGGCACAGTTTTAAACCCCAAACCAAGGAGCTCCTGGGCACAAAGGTGGGCAGGTGTCACTCAGCAAATTCCAGCTCAACCCACTGCTCCCACCTACATCTCAGCATAAGATTGTACTTCTCCACTGAATGATTAGTTAATTGATTCATTTAAAAAGATTAAGCACTTTAATAAACCAGGCACTCTTCTAGGCTTTGGGATAGTTTTATTGTTCTATATATGTTCTACAGTTTTATATGTTTTATAGCATAACAACTCTCAATAAGGGATGAAAATTGTGGTGTTTTTTTTTTAACATTTCCAGTTATATTCTGCAGCTATGGAAGAAGGCCTATGATTAGTGGTTCTCCTCAATTCAGAGATTAGTGGGGTCTCCGCCTATAAACCAGCCTTCCTGAAAGGCACGGTCACCTGTTTGGTAGGACTGGGCCCACCCCCACATCCCCACTTTCGCTCAGGCCTGCCCACAAGGAGGAGTACCTGCCCAGCTAGATCCTTTCTATTCCTTTGATCTTTATATTCTTTAAATGCCTGCACTGTAGGCATGGGAAGTAAATGTTTACTCAATTGAAATAGTGCCAGACTAGGAAACTACACATAGAAATGGGGGAGGTGACTAATGAAGTATCATTATAAATATTATTTTGTGTTACGATACCTTGTAAAAATGACTAGTAGGCACGGGCCCCCTCTCTGGAGCACTATGTAATTTTTGCTCAGAGAGCTCCCCGGTGGAATGTACGGCGGGGCTGTGAACTCCTGTAGGATATGCTCTTTACCAGTCTTATCCCACCAGACTACCCAGGAAGTAACGAATTCATCATCAGATAGTAAACCATTACACTATTTAACTTATTGTTACATCTATTTGCCTAATTTTAATCCCTCTAAGACTCTTTCTGTCCTGGGATTTATGTTGATACCTTCCCTCCCCTGATGACTGTCTCATTAAATCACCCTAATTATCCGTAAGAAGCCTGAGGCTCATGGCCATGGAGCCTCTGGTGGTGGAACCCCAGCTCAAGTTGGGCTGGCACCCCGCCTCCTGGGTTCTGCCTGGCCCACTCTTTACTTTAGACGGGGCTTCTGTCCAGCTCCCAGCAATGTGCACCCGCGTGTGTTTTAATCAGTTTCCTTTCTTCCCAGTACATTACTTGGTCCTGGAAGACGAGGGCCGCCTCCCCTGCTCCCTTCTGTTCGCCTTCACCAAGCATGCTGTGCCATACTGCATCTGGGGAGCCCTCCAGGAAAGTCGAAGATAGAAACTGGCCCATTCTGGACCAGGGGGGTCCCAGGCTCAGGGAGAGTTGCTGGGAGTCCGTGAGACTCGCCTTCCCCAGGGAGTCAGAACAGGAAGTGACAGCGGAGGCAGTGCATTGTGACAGCAGCACCTGCCAGCTCCACCCCCACCCCCACCCCCCAGCTGACAGGGTGCGGCTCCTAAGGGCCCAGGCTGCACATCCATGCCTGCTCCCCATCTATCCCCCCGCCCCCGCCACAACACACACACACACACACACACACACACGCACACGCACACACACACACACTGCCTTGCTGGGAATGTCCCAGGGCAATTCTCTTCTGTCCTCTTTCCCCCATAGGACTCAGTTGAAAAATGCTTTAAAAATTGTAATGTAATATTAAAACTCCACTCAATACAAGCTTGCTTTGGCTTTGTTAAGATCTTGTTAAGTGGGGTGGGATAAAAACTGCCCAGCATCATGCTCTAAGCACATGGCAGTTTCAGTTACAGAGTAATTGCTGCTGGATTTTATTCTAATTTGAGACAAATTTTCAACATCTTTCCCCACAGTTATAAAAACAAAAAAAAAGGAACTCCCTACCCACCTACAGTCATCTGCTTCTCTCCTTATAAACAGAGTCACCCCACACCCTTCTGAAAATACAAATTTCCAATTTCCATAAAAGTAGACAAACCTATTTCTCAACAGCCCACTGCCTCCATGTTATCTTGTTTAGTCAGTTGTCATTCAAGCGTTGGCAGAGGAGATTAGTGTTAACTTTAAATATTAAAATTCTAGATGGTTTATAAGACAAACACTCAAATATCCTTCTTGGCTGCTAACTCCCCAGCCAGAAGTCTCTAAGTTACCCAGAGACCCTGAAAGTAAGGCAGAATGAAGAAGAGTCCATTTCAACTCCCCAATAAAATAAGTCATGCAATCATTTGAAATATGCATAACACATTCAGTTTTGTAACCTGCAGACTATCATGCTCTGTGTATGAACTCGAAGGTCAGTACCTCATCGACTTCCTTAATGGAGCTGAGGTCGAGCTCGGGTTCCGACTTCCGGTGGCCCAGCGAAGCCGAAAGAGCCTCCAGTGCCTGGTCGCTCATTGCGTCCTGTGACAAAGCAAAGATTCTTCCCATTAAAAAAGAGAGCATCTCCTCAGCCTGAACAATCCATCCACTTCTTTGTGAAATACACATTTTAAATCTAAAAGACGAATTGTGGGTTGGGGAAGGACTTTAGGAAGGCAAGTTTATCTGAAACCTGGCAAAAGAAAGAAAGAATAAAGAACTTACCAGTGAGTGGAAATGGGGGCTAAGACTCTTTCTACGGTGGTCCCAGGGGCACTGCACCTCTTCCTTAGCAAGCTAGACGTATCACTATAATCATAACTGTGCCATTATAAAATACCCATGTCAAAATAAAAGCTGCAAAAAGTGAACTTTCACTATCCTGCTTTTCTTTTTCTAAAAATGACTTCTGGCAACCCTGTCCTTGAGCAAAGCAGCTAAGCCCAGAAAGCAGGGGGACTTGGGGTGGCCCCTGCCGCCTTCTTCTCTGCAGGCCCCAAGGCTGCTCCCTGAGGGAACACCCACTCTCCGGGGTGTGGTGCTCTCACGGCTCCTCCACCAGCCAGATAAAAATAAACTGTCCCCTCCAGGAGGGGAGAGGCAGAGCGCCCTGACAGCAACTGCTCCTCGCATTATCTGGACTCTCTGAACACGGGGCATGCTTTCTCCTGCAGCCCAGAGCTGGAGGACCACATCTCGGGGTTGGTGAGAATCAGCCCACATTAACTGTGGTTAAGAGAGGTGGACAGAAGCAGCTACAACAAGACCCCTCGAGTGGCTTCACCGGGCTCCGACTCCTTGAGGAAACCACATTGAAGATTGTATGTTCCAAGAGTGTCATTTCTCTGGCGTCCTGCCCTCTGCATTGGGATGGTAAGATAGTCTTAGTTCACAATCAGAAGATTGTGCTGAAATCTCCCATCAACTGCTGCAGAAACAAGGAAGACCTGGCTGGAGGTGATGGGTATCGCCCCAATTGATCTCACTGCTCCACAGACCTTCGGGAAGAGAGACGCCCTGCCTCCCCCTCCCTCTTCCTCCCCCTGACTCGTAATACACTTTTGGGATTGTCTGGCATCAGCTACATCAGCCTCAGGAAGGCAGCTGCTGTCCCTCGAAACATGGTGATTTTCCAAAAAGTAATGAATCTATACCTTCTCCACCTTTCTTTTTTTCTCATGGGGCGGAGCAGCACTTCTGATTACTCCGGCTGACTGAGCTTTTAAAACTTCTCCCGCAGATTTCTGAAAAACAAAACACAAAAGATTAAATGTGCAGAGGAGGGAAATGTAATAACCAAAACTAGAAAGTTGCTGTTCTAAAGTTCGGGAGGGCTTCTAACAAGTTCCCCTAATAACATTCAGCACAATACCTCTTTCTCAGTTTCCTTCCCAGCAGTGGTAGGAGAGCTGCAGGTGAAGTCAGATGACAAGGCATCGATGGCGTCATCGGGCCCCGGGGGTGTCTAAGGAAACAGATACCAGGATGGGCATCACGGGGAATCATTCAAGTGAAAGATCAGATTATACACCCAGCAAAGGAAGAATGTACTGTGGCAATTCCTTTACCGCCGAAGGAGATGTGTTAGTAAGCTATCTCAGATGAAAGCCTATGTCCGGTAGGCAAAGGGTTTTGCACTATTAGTTTTCTGTTCCCTCTTCTAAATGTATTACATGTTAAGATATTCCCATCCTATTTTTATTAACATTTATTTTATCCTAAAACTTCCTGGGCTCCATTTCTCTTCCTCTCAAAAACACAAACGAAAATCCATATGAAACCAATGAGCACTGACACAACCCCCACGTACTCTCCCTTTCTCTGAACAGATGGAAACTTCATTTGATTTAGAGGTTACTTTAGCCCTTTAGAAGACATTTATGTAAACTCACCGGAGAGTCTGGAGGAGGCCTTGTGATCCCTTCTTTTTTCTGAAACAAACATCAATTGATAATGTTGAGAAGGCAAGAGTAATCCTTACAATCAGCAAAATGTGTTACTCAGTGACTGTTATGGGTTGAATTATGTCCTCCCCAAAAGCATATTATTGAAGCCCTAATCAGAAGCATCTCAGACTATGACTGTGTTTGGAAATAGCGCCTTTAAAGAGGTAACTGAGTCTGGCCAGCGTGGTTGATTGTCGACCCATGAACCAGGAGGTCATGCCCAGGTTGCAGGTTTGATCCCCAATGGTGGGCGTGCGGCAGGCAATTGATCAGTGATTCTCTCTTATCATTGATATTTCTCTCTCTCTCTCCCTCGCCCTTCCTCTCTGAAATCAATAAAAATATGCACTTAAAAAAAGAGAGATAACTGAGGTTACATGAGGACATTAGGATGAGGCTAATCCAATATATCTAGTGTTCTTATAAAATGGGGAAATATGGACCAGAGATAGAGGGAAGACCACGTGAAGAGATGCAGGGAGAAGATCGCTCTCTACCAGCCAGGGAGACAGGTCTCCATAAGACTTTCAGAAGGAACCAACTCTGCCCACACCTTGATTCCAGTCTCCCAGCTTCCAGAACAGTGAGACAATATATTTCTGTTGTTTAAGCCTCCAGGCTGTGATTCTCTGTTATGGCAGCCGTGGCAAACTAGTACAGTGAATGTCATAGTAATGAACTTTTTATCTGCCCATTTTATTTTCTAAATTTAAAAAACTGTAACTATATTGATGTGATAACGAATATATTCCAAAAGGAAATAGTAAAGTAAAAGTAAATGATTAACTTACATCCAAAAGTTCCCTGTACTTTGGAGGAATTGAGCCTTCTCTTTTACCCAATTCTTCTATGTAGATAGAAGTCATGGGATCCTATAATAAAATCACACATTTAGGTACATTATATAATTATCTGAGAATGTTATATGCATATTCTGAAACCAAAGTACTACTGCATTCTTAATTTATGAAACTATTGAAATAAGATATAAATTATTATGATGCCAATACTTTATACAACTCTGAAATTTGTTTACACAAATACTTCCCCTTATTTAAATAGCTTAACCCATATGTGATGCTAGAAAATATTCAAATCACTATATTAAATTTGATTCCTATATTAAAATACACTGGATTTCAAATGTTTTTTATTGTCTGATGTTTCCAATTCATAGAAAAATACAGTTAAAAACAATAAATTTCTATATAACCCAATACCCAACTCTATCAGATCTATAGTCATTCTTATGTAATTTCTTCAAAACAATTAGAATGATGTCTCCTGTTTGGCCCTTTCCAATCCCATTCCCGTTCCTTGTTAACCAGAGATAGCTACTAATGTGAACTTTAAGAGTATCATACCCACCCACTGAAAGTGGAGCATATTTTAAAACGGTTATGCTACATGTAGGCATCCACAAACAATTTACAGCATTACTTTGTTTTCAAATGTTACATAAGTGATATCATATTTAACCTTATGTGTTTATAATGTATCCATGTTGATAAATGAATAGTTCATTTTAATCACTATAAAAGCATCCCATTTTATTATCTTGTCTCCTGTTGAACACAACCATTTCCAAATGTTTCAGCTGTTCTCATCACTCCTTGTGCAGGCATGCAAGGCTCCCTCTGGGGACTTGCTGGTGGAAGGGTATACACATAGTCAGCATCCATGAGCTCCAGGTGAGCTGCCAATCTAATGAGTGTGAAGTGACCCCTCTCCATGTTGTAGTATCACTTTCCTAATTACTAGGGACACTTGCATTGTTTATTAGCCCAGCAAGTTTTCTCCTCATTTTCTACTGGATTGTCTTTTTCTCACTTTTTAAAATTCTTCATAAATTCTGGCACAAATCCTTTTGTGGTGTCTGTTGCAAATATTTCTTTCCAGTCTATGGTATGTCTTTTTCTTTAAATAAAATGTCATATAATTTTCTTGCTTTTAAGGAATTAGGAATAGGGATGAACAGAGGATGGTAAATATCTAGAAATCAGAATAAATCCAAGTCCATGGAACTCCGATCTCAAGGGCAGAAAGGTATTTGTAGCCCAAAGGACTATATGCCAGGAATAATCTCAGCACAGACAATTAATAAATGTTTCCTGCGTCAACAGCCATTCCATCCCAACACTAATTTCAGTTGCTGTTACTGATACTGACACCGTCCTATCTCTCTCCAAGTAACAGAACACCAAGTGGACTTTTGTGCATCATGACCTTATTTTGCTCTCCTATCCTAAGAGTGAATCTTTACAGATATTAAGATCACTTACTGAAACTTCAGGTCCAGTATATGTTGTGTTATCTTGTTCCGTTTCTTCAGGTTCTCCCAAAGTGTCTACTAAGTCATCCAGAGCAGCATCCATGCCTGACTGGAAAGAAGAGAGAACAGATATTTAAATGTTATTTGTTACACATACTCCACTTTTGATTTTTTAAAACTACAAAACACCAATCTGTGTAGAAAAATACCAAACACCAAGACTTCTTCAAATATCAAATAGTTAAAATCTGGTCTTAGGGTTTCAGGGAAAAGGGGAGGAGGAGGGGGGGGTGTTGGATAAAAGAGGGTGAAGAGATTAGCCAAAGAACATATATGTATAATGCACAGATACAGACAACAGTGTGGTGAAGGTTGGGGGAGAGGGTGGGATGGGTGGATGTGGGCAAAGGTGGGGGAAGGAGAATGGAAGACATCTGTAATAGGATCAACATTTTTTAAAAAAAATAATGAAAATGGAAGCAAGAAATATTTACATGTATTGAAGAGAAAGAAGTCTTCAGAGAAAAAAAGACACTCTAAAATATGACAAGATAATGGCCTATTTGAGACTATATAATGATTTATAACTAATTTAAAGAAAAATTTAGCAATGTAAGGCTTAAAGAAAAAAGTACACTTTATTATTTAGTAAAAATAACTTCCAAAAAATTTATCTTGCCCGGCCGGTGTGGCTCAATGGTTGAGCATCGACCTAGGAACCAGGACGTACGGTTCGATTCTGAAGTCAGGGCACATGCCTGGGGTATGGGCTTATATCAGTATAATGAAAGAACGCTTCCATTCTAATTTTGAGGTTAAAAATGACTCATTGTGAAGGATAACCTGAATTTAAAGGGGAAAACAACAATTTGGCGAAAGACCTTTCACTGTTTAACTCAGATTAATTAGTAAGAATAACTACTATATTAACACTATAATTTTAGAAACTCCCCTGGTAATGTAGTAGAATTTGGGGCCTGCTAGCTTTAGCCTGGTTAAACTAGGAATTTCAGAGTGAAGAAGTACCTGGCATTCTTTAGTGATACCTCTGGTTAAAGCAGATATATTTGCAGGAGAGAAAGTGGAATGAAAACTTCATGGGATGTAACTGGAGTTTTCAGAACAGAGGGTTATACTATGAAATGTTACAAACATATGTGGGAAAACCACACTTTCAACCCAGTTATATTAGCTTGAAACAGTTCATTAAAAAGATCCTTTCAGGTACCCCCACCTCATATTGCTGGCCCCAAGAAATGAGATCATGATAGAGAGACTGGGAGCAAATATCTTAGGCAGAAATGCACTGCTGTCTTCATACCTTTCCAGATGGTTTACCCGGTTTGGACTCAACTGGTACAGCCGACATTAATGATTTACTTTCTTTTTTCTGGGGGAGGTTTAGAAAGGAATAAAAACGTTTTCACATACATTTATAAAATTCAATAATATTACATATATTAATATGAATTCAATATAATATTAATAGCATTGATCATATACTGAATCTGCTCAGTGCTAAACACTATGTTGTATGTGTTATGCCCTTTTTCAGAACAGCATAAATAATATTAATAAATCATAATATAAATTAGTGATGTGGAAATCAAGGCTCAGAGAGGTTAAGTAACTTTTTCCAGGTCACACAGTAAAAACCAGAACCAAGATGTGAATCCAGAACTGCCCATCTCTCTCTTCACTACTCTTGGTTGCCTCTCCTGGGGCCCACAGCCAGTGTCTGTGGGTCCCATAGATTCTTTCTGTAAGTGTCCACTTCCTCTAGCTGTTGCTATTTCAGTCTCTGCTCCCCACACAACAAGACCTCCACACCCCTTGGTTTGGTATCTCATCACCTACTCTTCCCTTTATTTCCCTAAATGAATTTCCTTCCTACCAGTGCTTCCGTTGCTCTATCAATGATTGCCAATAACTTTCCATTCTGTGATTTCACGCCGTTACCCAGACCCTGGCAAGGACCCCTCTATGACTCTCACCTCCCACGGCAGCCATGACCAAGCACCATCCTGGTTCTAGTCGGACGATTGTGCCCCGTTCTCTGCCGCCTCTGGCATCTCTTCTGCTTTACCCCCAACTGCACACGGTCTACACATTTCTGCCTGTGCTGGTGGTCCGGTCCAAGACCATTCTCTAGGGCCAGGGGCCAAATGCTTTCAGGGCCTGGCAGCAACTCAATGGGCAACGTTGCCAGGATGAAGACAATAGGAAACTATGTCCCATTTGCCAGCCCCTGAATTCTGGGCAGCAGAGTCTGGAGGCGGAGAGCACAGACTCCCACTGCCTGGGTTTGCACCCCGACAAGCACTGGCTGCACCTCAGTGTCCTCATGTTTGTTCTATCTCAGAGAGTGACTGCACCTACCTCAGGGGTTGTGAGGATTAGGTAAATGAGTCTATAAAGTGTGAGAGCCAGTGTTTGCACATACGGAGCCCTTTCTAAGTGCTTAATTTAAGAAAGTGTTAAATAAATGACTGCGATTGTCACAGTAAAAACTAGAGGGGCGGTGGGGGAGAGGCCTGGCCTGGTGGCTCAGTTGGTTGCATATCCCCATCTGGACACCGATGGGAGGTCACCGCCCTCACACCCTTGTTTGGCTTTCTGTCTTCCTCCCTTCCTCTCTCTCTCTCAAGTCAATAAACATACCCTTGGGTGAAGATGTAAAAAATACTGTGTGGGCCATCCCCAATTCTCTCTCTCCCCCTTCTTCGCTACTCCAAAACAGTATTCTAATTGCCTGACTACACATCTTTCTTGGGACACCTCAAACCCATTCAGCCTGTCCAAAATCAAACACCACGTTTCCTCCTCAACCAATTCCTCTGGTGAACTGTGTCCACCTCCCAGTGGCAACCAGGGGCCGGCTCACAGTTTCAGGAGGCACTCACGCTCCCTGCCCTGGCAGGAGCCCTCACCTTAGGGTTACCACCCTAGCTCCTGCAGACTCGAGCCCCAGGTTAGCCTGAGATTTTCTTTACCTTTGCCCAATCATCCCCTAAAACCTGAAGGATTTACCTCTGCAATGCCTCCTCCCTTTCTCCCCACTAGTTTATTCTATCTCAGCTCGCATTTACACTAAATTAGGATTCACCAGGACTACTGCAACAGCCCCTGACCAACCTCCCACCTTCCTATCTGTAATCCCCCTGTGGTCACTTTCACAATCCTTTTGCAGTTTGGTGTTCATGGCTCCGCTTGCTGCATCTGTTCTCTAATCTCTTTCACACTGTTTATCCTCTGCCTGTTGAGTCACTAACTCCCCTTAGCCGTCTCCACAGCAACACCTCAACCTGTCCTTCTGGTCTTACAGCCCCACTGCTCACCGCCCTGCGCTTCACCCAACACTGGAATGCACGCTGCTCCCAGAACACATCTTCTCCTTTTCCATGTTGATGCCTTTGCAAGCCTGCAATCTAGGCTATGCTTCCACGCCCCACTCAGACTGGATCTACTCAAGGTCCCTGTGGATTCCCGCAGTCGGGACCTCTTCTGTCCTCACCAAACAGCCCGTCTCAGCCCGCCCTGAACTGCAGCGGAGGCAGTGTCTTCTTCCCACCCCTAGATGGCCAGCCTGCCGCGCGGGTGTCACACACAGTGCTGTCAGCCTGGTATGCGCTAAAAAAAATAACTTAAAAAATGCAGATCTGATCAAGCCCATGTTATGGGAGACAAATCAGAGGCAAAGAAAAGTGATTTGCCAGCTCAAATCAGTGCAAACTAGAATTCCATATAAACCTCTCCTAATTTTATTTTTCAGATTTCACTGATAACTCTAATTTATATCTAAAATAAAATTTAAATTTTTGCTTAATTTTAAAAGCTGTTCTATCAGATATAATCCTCTGTCTTAAATCCACCCTTTTTTCAAATCATTTCATCAACATGAAAGAGTAACGTGTACCCCTTGGGTGGGTTGGGGTTAGGGGTCTCAAGTGGTCTACTGCAAAATACTTTTTAAACTAAAGTTGGGTATTTTCATTTAAAAGTGTATATAAAGTTTACCATTACACTCTAAGATATCTGCATTTATGTGAACAAAAACAATGTGCATTTTCTCCCCCAATCTGAGAAAAATTGGATTTTTTGGGCAGATGTGCCATAATTTATCCTACGACTTTCTTTACCATTGAGCCTTCAGGAGAATATCTTTTCTATTGCGAGAAGCAGGAAAATAGGTAAGTACATATTCCTTTCTATTTTCATCTTCTCATTATTGCTTCGATTACTTATTTGTGTTTCCAGAGAAATAAGTACTAGCATTTCTAAGGGAGATGGCTCCACATGGATAACACTCTATTGCATGAGTAGAAGCACAGACTACTTCTCAGCTTACATTTCCAAGCAAGAATCTTAATTGGCTCATCAAGGACCTACGGAAAAATTGCCCATAACTGGCCAGAAGGGTATATATATTCTCTTCTGAGGGGGTTTATGTTGTCCCCTTGGAAAACCTTCCGTATCAATTCATGTAGATGTTGTGACTATTCATGGTTTACAAGGAACACACTTGTTGACAATTCAGAGTAATGCCATTCAAATGCTCACGGCAATTTTATTCGCTTTATTTCAAGCCTGTACATCTTGAAGGCAGGCTCTGAGTCAACCCACACGTCAATTTCCTCAATCCTGATACCAGGCCTTATACACGCCAGGTGACCAATAAATATTTATTGAATATATGGATTTTAAAATCAATTTCAGTATTCTGCTCAGCTACGTGATCCTCTTCACAAATATACGAACAATGTTCAGTTTTGAGTGTGGCAGCACCAGAACCCTAAATGGTCCTAAATGAGAGCCGGCGGTAAAGCCCAGGCAGAATGGAACCCCCCTGAGTACGTTTCTCACGAGAGACTGATAGCCTCGGGCCCACGCACACCCCACGCCTGCCTGTGTGTGCTCACCTTGTCGTCTGACTTGCCAGAGGCCACAACCACACCAGCAGCAGCAGCAGCACTCCTTCCACCTGTGTCCTGAGATTTAGTCTAAGGAGGAGGATGAAAGGTAAACAGAACTCAGTCTCTTTGAGTGACTGTTTTTGAGATTATGCATTTTTCAAATGTCACTGCTGAGCCAGTTTGCCCTTGTGGACGTCTTGTATAGGAAAGGCCACTACCTTCCACTGAACATGATGCAACGTTGAGCACCAACCCCATGAGGCTGGATTCCGAGCTTACAGAGTCCGTGCAGGTAACACAAATAGTGAAGTGGGCCAGGGAGGGACTGTGGTAAATTAGAGCACATATACCAGGGGTCAAGCTCTCGTCAATTCTTGCCACGTGAGCCCACTGTTGCCAAGTATCCTGATTTTTCTAGAGAAGCTAGACATTTTGATTTTATGTGAAATATTCTGACTTTGTCGGTAGCTAATTTAAATAATATTGTAAGCCAAACAAAATACACTTGAACAAAACACACATGAGCTGCCTTTAACTGGTGGGCCAGAGATTACAATCTCTGATACGAAATACACTGTTAAGCAGGACTGGTTCTTGTCTTGCAAGAGCTATCAGTGGGAAAGTTCCTCTCATATTTGTTTATTCTTCTAATAGTTGACCCCCAGTGGTTCTAGAAATATGGAGACTCTTTCTGATTCTTGGCTCTGAAAGTTCATCTCTTCTAGCACAAGACCCTAAAAACTCTTCCAGGCTTCCAGGTCAGCAGATCATGCAGGGCATCTGGGTTCCCACCACCCGTAAGGAGAGGGGTCCAGGCAGCTTCCTGTCTGCGAGGCACCAGAGCCTGCTGCCCTGCCGTGTGACTGGACCCTGGTGGGCCGTAGAGGACTGGATGGAACACCCCCGGGACCCGTCTGGTGCTCTTCTCAGGCTTTTCATAGGCCCATGTTTCCACAAGGCTATTTGCAAAACCAGCAACATGGTAGCACCAAATCATTACAATCAAGGATATCTTTGGCACAGCTCAGCAGCTTCACCTACATGTCCATGGCGAGAGAGGACCTGTATCGCACCCCCCAGTTGATGTTAGTGTTTTCCTAACCATTCACCCGATTTATTTACCTTTGGTTTGCTTGGTTTCTCTGACGTTGGCTGCTCACTTGGCCTGGAAACTGCTTTTTCTTTATGACCATGCTTGCTTGCTGTATGTGATGTGCTTTTGGATAGATTTTCTGGCTGAAAACACACACACCGCATTGTTAACAAGATGGCAAATACAGATACTTTTCTCAATAGAGTAGGAAGTGCTCAAAACAGTTGTGCTTTATGCAGTTTTGAATTGTGCACATTTAAATTAGTGCGATATCAATGTGATAAAATTTCACCTTAGGTACAAAATTTGAAATAACGCAAATCCTTCCCCCCAGATTCAGCAAGAATCATGAGTAAATTGCAAATCCTTCTACTGCCGCATGGTGGTGCTATTTTAGCTAAAAACAAATACCAGCCATCCTCACAGGACTTGTTTCTATAGCAATTTACATTTGAAAGGTTTTTCCATTACAGTTGGTATTCAGTATTATTTTATATTGGTTTCAGCTATACAGCATAGTGGTTAGACAATCATATAATTCACAAAGTGATCCTCCTGGGGACTTAAGTCTTGACTGATGAGAATTTCGTATTTCATCCCTCACACACACACACAAAAGGCTTCACCTTATGCTATCAAGTACTAATGATGATCATTTACCTCGTGTTGTTCCTTTGGCTTCTTTTCTAGTATTTTTCCATCAATAAGCAGAGGTGGCTGTCAATTTCAAAAGATAAAATATCAATTACATTGGAGTTCATTGTTTTCATAATTCCAAACAGGCTCAAGAAAAATATTCC